TTTTTTGGATCGGAAGAAGAAGAAATGGAAGTGAATACAAAAACGGTCGACAGCAATGGCAACATCAACAACAACATAATATTTCAAGAAGCCAAAGACACGCACCAGCAAATGTTGTTGAATGAGAAATTATTATTCGCGACCTATGTGCTGATATTTTGTGAAGTATTGAAAATCGCCGTTTATTTGTACAATAGCTTCAAGAGAACCATCAAGAAGAAATATCAACTTCCACGAAACAACGCTCCAGCACCGCAACCCAGACAAAACCCTGCACAAAATGGACAATAATTTTTTTGACTTAATTTTTCTTCTCTTAAATATTATAAATTTGCTAATTTTTGTAAAAACAAAGATCAGTTAAGTTCTATGAAAAACGAAATCAATTTGCAATTTTTATAGTTAAAATAAAAAAAAAGCAGAAAAAAAAATGTATGTATTTAAAAAGAGGGAGTGTTGAATATATTTTTAAATCAAACATTGTTTTCATATATATAAGAGAGACAAATAAAATTTCATTGTCATTCATTTTTTGTCAGTCAACCTGTGTGTTTCATTCATAATATTTAGCATTCTCTGCAGAAAATGTGATAGTATTTGTAAATCGAAGAAAAAAAATTTAATTATTTTTTTTCATTTTTCGCAATTTTTCATCATCTAATACATGGCAACTTTATATGAAACTCTCGGAGACTCGGTATAGAGCACAAAAAGTGAAAAAAAAAAAAACATTTTTTTTCTCAATTCTCGAACACAGCTAAGTCGTATATATCATGTGTTGTGAACAGAACGTAAAAATTTGTCATCTCTGTCACTCAAATCGTGCTTGGCAAATCTTTTTTTCATGCTGTCTCGCTCACCCTTGCATTCACACTTGTTTACAATCGACATTCTACTAACACACAACTCAAACTTGTATTTTGCTGTGCAAAATTGCAAATGGCGCGTATTAACTTCGGCATCTTAATAGATAATAAACATACTACTACTCGCTATTAACATCGATCTTAATACTACTACTCATGTTATTATGCGTAGTATGATTGGTTGTTAATAGTTAATAAAGGATTTTTCATATTTAGTAAAAAGATATGTTAATATTTCGATGTTAATAGGACATCTATAGTATAGGATACAATCGGCTGATCATCGATTTATCTGAATTAACTGATGAACAGAAACCAGAAAGATAAGAGTTCTTATCTGAAGGCCCTATGCTCCACTTGGAGTAAAAGGAAATTAAAAAAAAAACATGCTGATCTAAAATAGCTCTATTGTCAAATGCCTAACCACCAAGGCGAAGGAACGCTGTTCGGTGCAGTTATTATAATTATTATGAAACTAACAAACTTTGTATAAAAAAGTTAATGTTCCATATATCTTTATTGATCTTAGAACAGTCTTTGGAGCACTAAGTGCCCCAGGCAAATTTCAAACTAAAATTAAACACATTTTTTCCACCACACATCACTAAACCAAACTCAGTTTTTTATGTATCTACTCAAAACTATAACATGAACATGCCATGATTTCCGAAAAAAAAGGTAAAGAGAAACAAATATGATTTCGTCTTTTAGATAGACGCCCCAGTTGTGTTTCTCAGCGCTCCTAGTATATTTTGTACACAGAAACAAGTATTCGAGTACGCTTACTCGCACTTGCGGTGTTAGTAGAGACTTTACCCCTCAAAATGAGTTACGCACTCTATTTTACTCTATTTTTGGAGTTTTTAAACATTTATATGTATATATTTTAAACATTTTTTGTACTAACAATATTTTAAACATTCACTTATTATTTAATTTTCACAATTTCTATCAATTCACAAATTATAATTCTTAGCACTAGCATGAAGTTGATTATATGTCAACCTTTATTCATTCGTATAAAAACATATTGTGTTCACGCACACATAAATGTTGGGGACTTTTGACAATTCCACTTTTAGTCCTAATAAAATTATAGTGTATATAAGAAATAAAAATAATACGCCGCAAAATATATACACAGAGAACCTTTTCAAGTTACTTACTTGGCGCCCCTAGTAAAACGAAAATACAGACATTTTTATGGGTCGAATATCACTATCAGTAATTCCCAATATTTTGCAAAAATTTAAAGGGCTAATTTCAATCCATTCTCCGGGCGAGTTAATCCAACCCCTCCAACAGTTTTGTGTCCAGGATTTTGAATGAAATGTAATTTTATTTTGACAATAAAAGAGTGAGTTTTTCAATAAAGTGCCACAGTTCAATAAAATCCCGACAACTAGAAATGTAGTTTATTTTTTATTATTATTTTTTATTTTCAAATTTGCATACATGTGTTATACAAGCTATCAGTGTTTTGCGAATGAAAAAAAAAAAAATACGGGACGTGATTGGCTAGGATATCGATTTTATGCATTTGTTACATACAATACGTAATATAGTAACAGTAAGAATGTTGTTGACAAGGAAAGAGTTCAGACCAAAAACAATTGAAACATTTCCAAAGGTGTATGTGCCTGGTTATGTTTTTTTTTTTTCGTTTGTTACGTTTGTGTGAACATAAATTCAATTTTTCATCGTTTTATGATGAGATTGGATGGAAACTTCAAACAAAATTATTTTCGCAGATTGCATATAGCGAGAGAAAAACCGAAACAAATTTTTTGAAGAAAAAATGAAATATATGCAACACAATTGTAACGTAGAATATTAACTTGATTAATGAATTTTCACTTTATGTTATAAACAAGTGCTTTTCTGCGAATGGAGAAAGCGAGGTGTTGTTGCTACACATTCTGCGGTATGATATTTTAGTGAATCAAACATCAAATTTATTTGACAAGCAGTGAGTGTTTTTTGATGGTTTTCAAAACAAAAAAGTGTTGAGGATGCTGGTGTCTCGCTGCTTATCACATGAACTTGGTGTTTGCCAATCGAAAATATTTTCCTTTCACACTCCTTATCGCAATGCATCTCACAATTTACAAAATACTTAGATATATAAATTATAAATTCTATCGTTATTTTTTTCTCTTTCCTTATCTTTTCTTTTTCATTATTTAAACGTTCTTATTTTCTATGTTCATGTGTTCGATTGATTCGCAATGAACTCAATCGCATGTTCGGCGTTAGTATATTTTATCCATTATTTTGCGCAGCAAACAAAAGTTAAAAAAAAAATTGGGTTTGATGCATGTGCAACTAAAATTTTGATATGCGCTCTAAATCAATATAACTTTCTTTATTTTCTTCCATTTAGATTGGATTGCATATATTCGGTCGTTTAATATTGCTGTTCGAAAAAAAAATGGTTCGTTGTTCTTTTTTGTTGTAACGAGTTTATTCCTTGGCGTACACATTTACTGAGAATGTAGCGAATGTTTCTCCCTTTTTACCAATGGCCTTGGCTTGGTATTGTCCGATGTCATCGTGTTGACATGATACAATTTTGAAGGAGTATAGATTGCCATCTTTTGTGAAATTATATCTAGATGATGATTGATCATCATCATCATCGAGTGGTTTGCCGTCTTTAAGCCAACTTAAAGAGAGTGGTGCCTCTTCAAGTTCACATTCAAATCTGCTTGATTCGCCCTCTTGTACAGTTGCCGAGCCAGGGAACTTTATGAATTCGGGTGCTTTTGAAACTACTTCACCTGGAACTATCACACCAATTGTACACGTACTAAAACTTTCGCCGACATCGTTAAATGCTTCACATGTGTATGTACCAGCATCTTCTGGGAAGATTTCGGCAATTTGCAATTTATAAATGTTCGCTTCGTTGGTATATTGGAAGTCTTTAGATGGTTTGATTTCTTTGTTATTGTGCAACCAAACTACATCAAATTTGTCCGATCCAATGATACGACATGCAAGTGTAATTGCTTCGCCATCTTTTACTGATCGTGATTCCAAATGACTAACAATTTTTGGTGGCTTATCTGAACCAGCGCCAGAACTATGCTTTAAATGTCCATTTTCTAGTAGTTTAATTTTCAAATTGCATTTAGTTTCTGTAGCACCGACTGAATTTGTTGCGGTACATGTGTATGTTCCTTCATCCTCTGGATAGACTTCGTTGATGGTGAGTGTAGCTATACCATTTTTGTATTTCAAGTTCATGATTTCTGATGATGAAATTGATTTTCCATTCTTTGACCAAGTGATTTGTGGATCTGGATCTCCTTTAACTGTACATTCTAACGATAGTCGTTCACCATCGACGATAACTTCCAAGTCTTTAAGTGGTTCTGTAAATTTCGGTTTACACATCAAAGAATCATCTGGTGGCACTGTTTAAAAATGGAATACAGAAAATATGAAAAAATCAATTGTAAAAAATTGGTTAAAAATATAAATGATTTAAATATATTTAATTCATACATATCAATTCTTTTGTAGCACTGCGTGATCTCGATGGGCTATCAGGTGCTTCAAGTTTTCCATATTTCTTTTTCGATGACGTGCTTGTGGATGAAGTGTCTATATTGTTTGTCGTTGATGAAATGCTTGATGATGATAAGTGGGAACTAGTGTTGTTGATTACAGTCTTATTCGATGAATTAAAGGACGATGAACTCTCTTGTTGTCTCGTTGTTGTTGTTGTGTTGTTGTTGTATGAAGATGATGATGAGTTTGTGTGTTGTGTTCTTGTTATGATTGGGGGTGGTGCTGGTTTTAGAGGTGATTCAATGTAACGACGGTCTCCAGAGTAAAGGAAGTTGTGCACTAATTCAGCCTGTTCTGGTGTTGATGTTTGACCTTCAACAATCACAACACATGATGTTTCATCTGTGCCGTGAATGTTAGTTGCCACACAACGATATTTCCCTGAATCTTCTGGTTTACAATCAACAATTTCCATAGTCACAACACCATCCGAGTGTGTCATTGAATATTCGTATTTACTTAGTTCGCGTCTGTCTTTGTACCATTTAACTGTTGGTACTGGTTTACCACTCAAGCAGCAAAGTAATTTACATGTATCGCGAGCCTGCATAACACGTGGACGTAAAAGGAATGTGAAACTTGGCGCTGTGTCGGACTCTTCTTGCCAATATGTGTATGGTAATGGTTCGCGTCGGCGGCGAACTGGCTGTTGATCTTGCTGTTTGTATACTGGCACTTGTTTAGGTAATGGTTGAACATTTAAGAAAACAACTTCTTCGCGTGAACCGTAATGATTTTCTGCACGTATTATGTATTCCCCGCGATCGCTCAACTTAACTCTGTTAATAATGAAGTAGTAGTCATCTCCTTGGTAGCGCTTCATGAATTTCACACTCTGTCGAAGTTCTTGGTTATTATGTGACCAGGTAAGTGTTGGTGTTGCAACACCAATAACACGACAATAGAATTTAACACTTTGTCCTTCATAGCAAAACTGCGATTGTGGTTTGATAACGAAACGTGGTGCCGCTTGACGACGATCGAACGATGACTCTTGAATCTTGTATTTTTCAATGAGTAATTTCCGTATTGATGAGTATTCGGATAGACGTCCAATTGGTAAAATGAATTTCGACCAATCATCATACTTCTTGCGAATTTTGTCACGCAATGCCAGAAGTCGATCTCTACTAATTTGACGACGGGTTTTGTCACTGGTGATCACACCAGTCAACCATGGATGAAGTAAACATTCGTGAGCAGTCAAACGTTTCTCTTTATTCTTCACTAACAAACGACGAATAAAATCTTTTCCTTCTTCAGATATGTGGCGGAATGCATCTTCATCGAAGTCCCAATCGCATGCTTTTACATTTTTCAATGTTGCAACATCATTTTCGCCAGCAAATGGTGATAAACCACTCAAGCTAATAAAATAAATTGAATGAAAATTAACATAATGAAGAAGAAATATCACACACACACACACACACACACACACACACACACATCTATTTTGAACAGAAGAACAAGAAGAAATTACTTACAGAACGTAACTCAATACACCAACAGACCACATGTCTGTATAGAAACCAACTGGTTCACGTTCAACGATTTCTGGGGCAGCGAATTCGGCTGTTCCAGTTGAAATCTTGACAATTTCGTTCGGGTCGAGTTTGGTGGCCAAACCGAAATCAATTAGTTTGATATTGGTACTTGTGCGTGTTTGACACATAATATTTTCTGGTTTTACATCCAAATGAATGATGTTCTTTTCATGCATATGTTTAATACCCTCGCAGATTTGGCGCATATAATTGATTACTTCAGCTTCTGACATTATGTATCCATCGGCCGTAATTCTTTCAAATAGTTCACCTCCAGATAAGCTTGATAAAAAGTTGAAAAAAGGCATTCAATCCAATTGAAATTATGTTATTTTCACTGTTATAGTTTCACTAATACTTACAATTCAAAAATGAGCACCATTTCGTCGTCATCATCTTCGAAGGCATCGTGCAAGTTCAGTAATTTTTGATGGTGCAATTGATTCATGATATCTATTTCCTTTTTAATCAAGTCCTTTTCCATTGCATGTGACACTGGGATGAATTTTGCAGCAAAAATATTTCCAGTAGCACGCTCACGACAACGGTGTACAACACCGAATGCACCGGTGCCAATTTCTTCTAGAATTTCATATTTGTCGTAAACACTTTCGTTCGAAATATCCACTGGTTGTGGCACATACTTCGAGTAAATATCGAATACATATGAATCGTAATCTTTAATTGGTCCATCATCGGCTTTGCCACGAATCTTTTTGCCATTTTCATCAAGTTCGTATTTATGTTGTTTATGTTCGGTTCTTTTTGGTTGTCCCTTAGTTGTAATCAATGTACTTACTTCAGATGGATCTGAACGACCATAAATGTTTTCGGCAAAGATTCTGAATTCATATTGACGAGCAGGAACTAGTCCGGTAACAGCAATGGAAGTAAAACGTGTGTTTCCAACTCGAATCCATGTTTCCAATGGATGTTCACGTTTTTCGACCAAATAGTTTGTGATATCAGAACCACCGTCCCAAACTGGAGCTTTCCATGATAATTGCAACGAATCAACACCAATACTTTCAATCAATGGGAATCTTGGCGGATCTGGACGGTCGCTAATTTGAATCTTTATAATGGCCGAATCTTGTCCCAATTCATTTTCAGCAGTGATACGATAAGGACCTGAGTCAAGTTTAGATCCGTCCCGGATTGTCAAAATTGCATGTCGATCTATAACCTCCACATGATAATGACCACCTGATTCAATATGTTCACCTTCGCGTACCCAGTTGATCTTTGGTTTTGGATGACCGGTGAATGGAATCTTAATGACAATATTCTCACCTTTGTCAAAGTAGGCTGTGTCACGAAATCGTGGTGGTACATTTAATTTGGGAGCAGCTAAAAGTGTAAAATGTCAAATATTATTAGTATATATATTCCATGTGTGTGTGTTCCAAAAAATATATTTTTTGGCAATAGATAATAAAAATTCTTACTCATAATGACTAATTCAGCACGAGTTGACTTAACTCCAGCTTTGTTAATAGCACGACAAACGTATTCGTCAGCATCTTCTCCAAATACATCGTTAATGGTCAAATTATACACATCACCTTCTGATGATGAGTAGATATGATAACGAGCACCGTTTGTGATCTCACGGGCCCCCTTGTACCATGTAATGGTTGGTTTTGGAACGCCAGTAATTTGGCAGCTAAATTGGGCATTATGATTTTGGATGCAATTTGCATTGCGCAATGGACGAACAATTTGCGGTGGAGTGGCAGCCTTCGGATCGATTATCTTAACGGATGATGAATTACTTGAAGGTGGTGAAATGCCAGCTTCATTCTGAGCGAATACACGGAATTCATACTGACGACATTCAACCAAATTTGCGCAGTTAATTTGTGTAGCTGGACAAAGAGCCACATTGACACGTCGCCAAACTTCACTACCAGCTTCACGTTTATCGATCCAATAGCCTTGAATTCGTGCCCCGCCATCTGATTCTGGTTTCTCCCATTCCAAATGAACGAAATCGTCGCCGACTTCGGTAACTTGTGGAATACCTGGTGCTGATGGTACATCAAATGGTGCTTTAGCACGAATTGGTTGAGCACCTTGCAAAGCTGGACCTTTTCCATTGTCATTAACGGCCGATACTCGGAATGCATATTCTTGATGCTCGGCCAATCCTTGGATTGAGCATGAAGTGGTGTCCTTACATGAGCTATGCACAGTAATCCAGTGTGGTGATGATGTGTCCCTGCGCTCAACTACGTAATGTGTTATCTTAAGACCACCGTCATAGCTTGGTGGTTTCCACGAAAGTTGACAAGTGTGTTTGGTAACATGTGAAATGCCCAATGGTCCAACTGGTGGTCCTGGCAAGCCAGTGATTGTAACATTGAATGTACCGATGGCTTTACCGCTGTCATTCTTCAATTCAACTTGATATTCACCAGCATCTGATCCGCCGCAAACGTCCTTTATAGCAATGGTAATGTAATCATCCAATATACTCCAACGGACACGACCCGTGTCCTTGATTTCGTTGCCATTTTGTTTTAATGTAAATTCAATAGGTTGATCACCAGAATAGAATACTTTTATCTTTTGATTGTCATTTTCAGCAAATCTCAAGTCGGTTGGCATACGATCTATGCGTGGTGGTGTTCCAACCTTCAAATGAGCTGTTGTATGGACAAATCCAAGTGAATTTATTGCTTCGCATGTGTAATCACCTTCATCACTATGTTTAGCATCAGTAATGTGTAATTTGAAAATACCGTTGCTACTACTTTCAGCACGAATTCTTGATCCGGCGGCGGCGGGTGTTTGTGCCAATGAAATTTCACGGCCGTTGCGCAACCAGCGAGCAGTTGGTTCAGGTTTACCGCTTGCTTCACATTCCAACGTAATGCATTTACCATGTGGAACGGTGGTGGTTGCATTATGCAATGTACGAATCCATTCAGGTTTTGTGCCGCCAACAACTTCACACACTTTAACTGGTGTAGTGCATGAGCTTGGCTCACTTCGCCCAGCAGCATTGACAGCAAATATACGGAATTCGTAATCAGCACATTCGATCAAATTCATAACAGTGTAATCCAAATCTAAAACATTGTAATCGTTGCATTTAACCCACAAAGCACCACCAACATCACGTCGTTCAATAATGTAGCCATTGATCCGCGATCCTCCATCACTGACAGGGCGTTCCCATTTCAAATCAACATAATTCTTGCCCACCTTCACCACTGCTGGTGCTTGTGGTGCTGATGGCACAGAGAATTTTTCTTTTATTTTGAATTTGCTAGATGGAGGTGATGATTTACTGAATCCAGCAACATTTTTAGCGCGTACCCTAAATTCAAATTCACGACCACTTTGTAAATTATATAGTTGATATTGATTATCTTTGATGAGAATATCATGAGTGTTCCATGCTGGATCAGACACATCACGGTATTCTAATTTATAGCCTTGAATACGTGAGCCACCATCACTGCGTGGACGGTCCCAAATCAATTTAACATTCGATGAATCCCAATCGATAACCTTTGGTGCGCCTGGTGGATCCGGTACAGTGAATGGATATGTTGCCAATACCTTCAAAGTGGATTATAATAATACAAATATTGCAATTGTCAATTTGGTTGGTTGGTTGGTTGGTTGGTTGGTTTGGTGGTAACATAAAATTAAAGAAATTAACACTTACAGGATCATCACGAGATAATGGGTAACTGACACCATATTGATTTTCTGCGCGAACTCGGAAATAATATTGACGATTTGGTTCCAATCCCATAACTTCGTAGTGTGTTCCACGCACAAATGAGCTCACCTTTACCCAAATGCCATTGGTATCCATCTTTTCGACGACATAGTTTGAAATTGGCGAACCCCCATCATCTAATGGTGATTTCCATGATAATGTGCATGTATCGGGAGTAATATCGGATACATCCAGTGGTCCTTGTGGTGGCGATGGACAATCGACGACCAAAACACGGCACGATGCTGAATCTGTACCCTCTGAATTGGTCAATTGGATGGTATATGCGCCAGTTTCGTTTCTCTTGGCCGATTTATTAACGAAACGTGTTTCACTGTTGTCAGTAGTTTCGAATTTGATACGTTCGTCAGTAATAACATCGATACCGTTGATGGCCCATGATACTTTTGGTTTTGGGTTACCACCAGTAAATGGAACTGAAATCTTAAACTCATGTCCAGCAATAACAGTCATATCGCGAATGCTGAGATCTGATGTGATCTTTGGAGCAGCTGGTGGAGCCTTGCAAGCAATAGTATCAGATGATGGTGACCATGGCCCTTGACCAGCTGCATTAACCGCAGCTACACGGAACTCATAGTCGTGGTTCTCAATCAAGCCAGAGACTCTACATGAAATAAAGCAATTCAAAAAAAAAAAAAAAAAAAAAGATAACATTTTAAGTAGGAGCGCAGTTAAAGCTATATGTTTTAAATGGCGAGAAAAGTAAACAAAGTATATTTTGGGCTAACTACACACAGGGAAATAATGTATAGATTATCAGTAAAAATGATTTTTTTTTTTCCTAAATCTATACAAAAGTTAAGATATCTCAACAAAAAAAAAGAAATATTTTTTGCAATGTAAATGAATTATGCGATAAACATTGATCAAGCAGTGGCAAAATACACATCCATCTTACACACTTTTCTCTCTTCACGCAAAAGAACAACAAAATTTTTATGGCTACACTTGAACGACGCGGTGGTGGTGACGACTATTGATCCATCTTACACACTTTTCTCTCTTCACGCAAAAGAACAACAAAATTTTTATGGCTACACTTGAACGACGCGGTGGTGGTGACGACTATTGAGAGCGCAACCACTACCTACTCATGCAGCAAACAACGCTGTTGTTCGTAGTTGTTGTAGTCTGTGTGTAGAGGAGTAGTTGACTTGTTATATTCACACACGGCAACAATACACAGACATCGCACTTCAACTGCTGGTGGCAAGTCAGCAGTGGTGGAAGCATGTAAGACACGAACAACAACGTTGTTTGCTGCATAAGTAGTGGTTGCATTCTCAATAGTCACCACCGCGTCGTTCAAGTGTAGCCATACAATTGTTGTTGTTGTTGTTCTTGTTGTTGTTGTTGTTCTTTCACGTGAAGAAAGAAAAGTGTGTAAGATGATGATGTATTTTGGCGCTGCTTGATCAATGTATATCGCATAATTCATTTACATTACAAAAAATATTTCTTTTTTTAAAAATAAATTTTTGTTAAGATATCTTAACTTTTGTATAGATTTAAGAAAAAAAATCATTTTTACCGATAATCTATAGATTATTTCCCTGTGTGTGGTGTGTAGTAGTAGTAGTAGTAAATGAAATCGCATGACCGAGCTCTTGGACCGCACCCACCAACCACAGAAGATAAATACAGTATGTTTCATTATAGAGAGAGGTTGATTTTTTTTATAATAAAACTCAAGAGTTTTACAAAATTATTTTATATACATTTTATTTAGTATCTAAGCTACGGCGCCAAAAAATAATATTTAATCCATTCTCCTTCTTGCTCGACCACACACGCCGGGCATATCTGTTTGGCATACTTTTGCTCAAATTTTCAGAGCATATTCGCAGCATTGAAAACCTTACACCCTGGCGCTGAATGAATGAATGAATGAACTGAGCTGCTTCAAATTGCGGTGTGCTTAACCACCACCACCACCACCACGAAGCCTTGCCTTAACCCTCCTAGGTATAGTTCGAAATAAAAACAATATAGTATAGTTACGGTCTATTAGACCGTTCATACAAAATACAGGGAAACCAAACAAAAACCAAAACAAAATCACACATTTTTTCAAATTTTTGCATTTTTTTTTTTTTAAATAAAAACATTGAAAAAGGTTTGAAAGTTAAAAATTGAAAAGATTTCAAGAAAATAATTAATTTGAATCATCATTTGAATTTACATGAGAGCGTTTTTTTCTCGCATTTTGCACACACACACACACACAACAGTGATTTTCGAATGTTCGCCGCATACATTTTTATTGCATTTGTCGCAACATGTTTTGGTTTTACGATTGATTGAACTTGGACATAAATGAATGACATGCACGTCGTTGTCGTGGTGTAACTGGCGCTTCTTGTTCGTTCCTCTTGACCCCCCATCAAATGCTCACGAACTTCTTTGAAAGCCGACTGATTAGATGCATTCATGCCACGCGCTGTTCGCCGTGAGATATGATCGTAAACTAAACCTTCATACAATTCGATCAAAAATGTCTTGCGTTGAAATGCATATGATGTTCATGCGTGATATCGTGACTTGTGTGTGTGTTGTAAAGAACAAATGCTGCAACACCACATACGTTGATGACATGAGATTCATGAAGAATGGAAATGGCCATCGATTGGTTCCAAGTTGTCATGAGTTTGAATGGCACATTTGATCCCTAGTTTGATCCAAAACATCCACACCGCCTTTTGTGCTATTGTATTGAGATTCAGATCGATTTTTTTCTGACAGACATTTTGTTGAATAAATAATATTATGTACGCGATAAACAAGATTCAAATTGATTTTTCTTGAGAATTTCAACCTATCTTCTCGTTTTCCAATTTAGTTTCTTTGCGGCGTCACCACTTGGGGGTGCGCCGACTGCGCCGTCTCCCGTGATTTTGACATAGAAAGGTCGTTTGAAAAAATTACAATAACATTTTCAATCTGTATAATTTGAGTTTTGCCATCTGTATTTTTATTAGAGTATCAATCTACTTAAAACCACAAAAATAATCATTTTTTGCAAAGTTTAATTTAATTTGCATATTTTTGAAATGATACATACCTGCAATTCAAATCTGGAACATTCGAGAAAGTGGCTTTAATCCATTTGTCTTCGGAGATTAGACGTTTTTCAACAACATAACCACCGATTGGTGCGCCTCCGTCGTGTTTTGGTTTGGCCCAGAAAATTGAGATTGAATCTCCCGTCGTTTCGATAGCTTTTGGTGCACCAGGTGCCCCTGGAACATCGAATGGATGTCGTGCTCTGATTGGGTGTTCGGTAGTTGCTGGGTCTGATTGTCCATATTGATTTTCGGCCATTACACGGAATTCATACTCCTTGCCAATTGTTAGGTTTCTAACACGAACAAAAGGAACAGTACAATAGCTGCTGACCTTTGACCAGGTTGCAGCACGTGCTTCTTTCTTTTCGATTACATAATTTGTAATTGGTGCTCCGCCGCCATCATCTTTCGGTGGTGGATTCCAATAAAGTGTCAATGAATCGCCAGCGAATTCGTCGGCTCTCAAATTTTCTGGTTTACCTGGGCGATCAAGTACTCGTACGTTAATTGTAGCTGTATCGAAACCTGATGGATTCTTGAGTTGTAATCGGTACTGACCGGCATCATCACGTTTCGAATTTTTAACAACAATGCTAGCATAATCATCGGCCAATTGTTGATGCACACGGTTGTCTGAGTAGTCATCGAGAACAGAATCCTTAGCCAACCAGGTAGCAGTCGGTTTTGGGAATCCAATATATGGTACATGAATTGAGAAGTCTTCACCAGCACGAACAGTGATATCACGAACACCTCCCAAATCCATTTTTGGTTTGTTTGGTTGTTCTTCGACAATAACCGATGGACTTGGTTTCGATGGCTCTGATGGGCCCACTTCATTTACAGCAATGACACGGAAGTTGTATTCTTCTTCTTCGCCGCCGCCGCCGCCGCCGCCGCCGCCTTCACCAGTCAAATGTGGCACAGTATGAACTGTATTGTGAATGAGTACTTCGTTAACATCTGACCAATTCTTATCAGCTTTGCTGCGTTTTTGCAGTATGTATCCCTTCACACGTGCGCCACCATCTCGTTTTGGTGGTGTCCAAGACAATGTAACGCTGTCTTTTGTGATACGATCTGGATGTGGTGCATCTGGGGCGTCTGGTCGTGAACGTTGCACTTGAGCAATAATTGGCTCTGTTGGTTTGCTTGGTTTTCCGGGTCCAGCTTCGTTGACAGCACTAACTCTGAATTCATATTTGCCTTTATCGCGCAAATCTTGAACAGTGTAGCTCAAATTTGGTGTTGGATAGTTATTTACCTTGACCCATTCGCCACCGCGTTCGCGTTTTTCGATAATGTAGCCCGAGACTGGCTTACCGCCACAGTAATCTGGTGGACGCCATTCGAGTGAACAGCTATTTGGACTGTAGCCTTTGATTTCGGGAGTTTTTGGTGCATCTGGAGGATCGAATGGTGATTTGGCAGTAATTGGTTTGCCTTCCAACGGATCAGATACACCATAAATGTTTTCAGCACGAACACGAAATACGTATTGCTTGCCTTCAGTCAAACCTTTAACAGTGAAAGCACATTTTGGACAGTAGCCAGGAACTGGCCGCCAATTATCTGTACCAGCTTCACTGATTTCAACAATATAACCGTTAATGTCTCCGCCACCATTGTCCTCTGGTGGATTCCATGAGAGAGAAATACTATACAAACAATGAAAGTATGTGGATATTATAAAAAAAAAAAAAAAAAAAAAAAATCATAAATGCTTTTCACGGTTATATATATGTTTTTGTTTCGATTTACTTACGTTTCAGCTGTAGTTTCCGTATAGGTCAATGGTCCACGAGGAATACCGGGTTTGTCAACAACAATAACCTCAATATCAGCTGAATCTTTGCCAAATTCATTTGTTGCTGTAACTGTGTAGACACCACCATCAGACCGTGTTGATTCTTCGATGCGGAAAATAGTTTTTTCATCACTGACATCAGTTGATATACGATTCGATGGTAGAAGACGAATTGTAGCTTTGGTCCATTCTACAGTCGGCGTGGGTGCACCAGACAATGGGATTGTGATATTGATTGGTTCGCCTTAAAAAAAAAAAAAAAAAAAAATGTTATGATTTGTGTAACAATTGCATCCCTGCGACATGACAGTGTATTGCAAAAAGTGACATGGTGGCGAGCCATGTACAACATGGTGGTGAAAGAACAAATTTTCATGTAAGTTAGTGTACTATTGATGTTAGTTGTTATCAACTTGGATGAAATAATTTGTGGTCGCAAATGCAAAATGTGCGTGGTCGCAAAGAGTGATCATAAAATTTATCTATTTTCAAAAATAAAATGTTTACAATTAGAAAGATTCCTTGCGATTTCATCATTTTTGTATTTAAAATTTATTTCGTTTAAAAAAAAGTAGAAGAAAAAACAAATCGTCTATCACACAGTGTGGTCGCAAATACGTTGTGTGGTCGCACATGCAAAGTTTGTTCTTTCACCACCATATTACAGGGAACATGGCGCCACCATGTCACTTTTTTTTTATGTCGGGGGGATGAACAATTGTGATACAATTTGTTTATAAACGATTTTGTTCAATGTGTGTGTGTGTGTGTGTGTGTGTGTGTGTGTGTGTGTGTGTGTGT